GGAGTTGCAAGGAAGAAGAAGAGGGCTAGAGTGTGATGGTGTGATCTGCATGTCCATGCCCTGCTGCTCCAGAGAGAACAATCAGAAAAGAAAGAAAAAACGTGCAACTGGGGCAAATAAAGTTGACAAAAGCGTAGACGGAGTCCTTTCTGTTTCGAAGGTGCAACAATAGCTTAAAAAATTATACAATGGCATGGATACCAGGTGAATCCCCTGCTATGAAGGAGACAGATCTTTGGCCATGAGGAATGTTTTTCAATCCCATAAAAAGGTATTGTCACTGTCTGTATTGTCACTGTCTGTGCCCTATACTGCCTTTTAGAGTCTAATATTAGGTATAGTGGGAAATAGCTACACAAAATATAAAAGTTGTGCTGTCCTGTTGTGGCGTCTCAATTCTGCATGCAATGATGTGCCAAGCATAAACCAAACTTAATTTGGGGGTTAGATGGAAGAAACTCCTTGCCAGAAACTCTCAAAGTCTACCTTGGAGGTCTTAAACCTGACCACATTAGTTTGACTGATAGGTTCAAGGTTCAGATGAATATCTGCTTCTTTATCTCTGATCCCATGAGACTTGTCAGTTCTTGCTTGGGAAGATGGACATACTGTGCATTACAGTTAAACTGCTAATCCAGAGTTGATTGAGGTAATTACTTGCAGTTGTGCTGAGGAGGGATCCAGAAAAGGTAAGTGCAGCTCCTGTTCATTCATGATTTAAGACCAGACTCCACAGAGGCACTTGGTCTGGCTTAAAACCTTCTTGAGAGAAGGAAACAAATAAAGCTCCAACAATACTAAACAATTCACGCCTTTTCCTCCCATAGCTGTGTTCATTAAATGCTTCGTTCCTGCCTAAAGAAAATAAATACAATGTGTAAATGATCATTAAGTGTAATGGCAGAGGACAGTAGAAAGGACTCAACAATGTCTTGGGCAGCAAACAGCACTGGCACGCTGCCCCTATTCAGGACATTAAGACCTAATCCTAATTGCAGGTTTCTCTCAGATGCATCATTTGTCTTGCTGCCTGACAGTAGGAGATTCCTCAGCAATGAGAGTGCATCCGCAATGTTGAAAGAAACGATTCTTATGAAAGTTTTCATGTTTATAGAAACCCTGTTTTGTTGTAATGACTACCAAACCACTGTAAATGTTTGGTTTCCACTCTAATTCAGAAAAATGTTTTATAACCATGTCATTTGAAGAGAAAATGCTGCCTTTTAAAGCACTTATTTTCTGTATTGTCTTGTTATCCAGGAAAATTTAAGTATTATATACTCATTATGTAACAAAGTTTCAATCATTTTGTTAAACTATTTTGAAATAACAGGAAGCATAGCATCCCTATCATTTTGATATTTTGTCCCTAAGTTAGAGAACTAGAACTTTGCATGTAGACCTACGCTCTGTTGGAGCAACCTTATCTTAAAATGACCTTACAGTCATTTTAAGATATTTATCAGATGTGTTATCCAGAAAGATAATCCACATAGGCAGTTCCACAGTGGGCACAGGACTTCATTTCCTGACTCTAGGTAACATGAAGAGGGACAGCATTGACTGAGTAGAGGTGATGAAGAAGGAGTAAATCCGATGAGCTTTTAAGCACCCTTAATGAAAGAAAGTCTTGGTTCTTTTTTTTTTTTTTGGAGTTGGCCTGGTGGGTTCAACACACACGCTGAGTTGATTTGGGAGATCTGTGGTTGCTTTGTGATGAAAAAGAAACTGGGCTGTTATTGCAACTTTAGCAGAAGCATCTTTCAGAACTTGAGTGTGGTCATTGGACAGACATCAGAAATAAATCAGCTAAATTAGGTGTTTTGATGGCATTTTAAAAGGCTTTTACATGCTACGATTGACATCAGCTACCAGTTCTACCAAAATAGATCTTTATTACTTACTTTTACAATAGCCTTTTTCGTGGTCTATAAATCGATCATTTATCATCACTGTTATGTGTTTGTGTGTGTTGAGTATCTGTCTGAGATAGTTTGTTACCTTGAATTGTAAAAAAGTCACAGTGGTGAAAAGCCTTTAAGCCTGCAGCACTGAATGCACAAGAGCAGCTCTGGCCAGTATCGGGCCATGAGAGCCCCAGGCAGACAGACCCTAGGCTGCCCCACAGAGTAGCGATGATACCGCAGCAGGTTGGCAGGGAAGCACAGGAGCTCCAGCCCACAGGCTTCAGACACAGGAAGAGACACACATGGTATTAAACCCCCTACCCAACCCTTGGTGCAGTTATCCCATGAAGAAAATGTGTATGCGCTTGTATGTAGATATATGTTAATGTTAACGTGCATTAGAATTGGGGCTGGAGGTTGTATTTCAGAAACCCCACTGCTTGCTGGTGGTTCAGTCTTCAACACCTAAGCCCCAAACCTCTGTGTGTCAAGAATGCACCTACAATCAGACAAAGCCTTTGTTTTTTTTAAATTTTTTATGGAGGTAACCAAAGTAAACCAAGCTTGTCCCCTCGATCAGTGGATTATCTTATTAACAGACTAGGCATCTAAATGTGAAGTTACCAATGGAAATACAACATGTAAAGAAATATGTTATAATGCACAAGCACCGGGGTAAACAATTATGTATTTTAGTGAAAAAACAAAAACAAAGATCTAATAATCTAATGCATTTTCTGTTAAAAACTTCAGTAAATATCATGCAACAAGAGGCTAGTTCCTTTACCTTATAAAAAACAAAAATATAAAAAGACAATATTGTGTAAGATTAACTCATTTACTTCAGACAGATACTACAACTTGTTTACAAACCCCTGTCAAATTGCCAGGTTTATGTGTTATACAAAGTTAGATGGTGATAAACAATTTTCTTGATATATCATTTGCAGTTAAAATAAAAAGATAAATCAACTAAAAAAAGATTTAGGTAAAAAAGTGATTTAGTGGGAGTAACCACCTACTGTCCAGTTTTGAATTTCAACATTTTTAAATGACTGTATATTCAATTTAAATACACACACAAAAAAAAGAAAAGTTGCCAAAACTCTACATTTTAAAGCAGCAAACTTTTGCAAGATTTTGAATCTGGGAATCATTTAAATTTTGCTTTTAATTTAACCAAACTTTGTATTCTATGTTACTGTGACTTAAAATAGTGAATTTTTCCAGCTTGAATGGAAAAATACTTATTGGTGACTTGGAAAATATAATGAAATGAACTATCAATACTAAAGTTGCCTCAGAAACATACTTAAATGTAGAGTTTATTGTCCCTTAGTGGGGTATTTCTGTTGTCTTTAACCCTTTTTGTCTCAGGTACAGTAACACACTGAGTTTAAATTCCAACCTTTTTTGTCACTTCAAATACTAAATGCTCTGCTCTCTATTAACTACGACACCCCTTGCAGTTCCAGTCACTGACTGCGGGTAACTTAACTATGAGTTGTGGTAAATTAGAATTTTTATAAGTAATTAAGAAGCTTTATAGTCAATGTTCAGAAAGTACAATGTATATCCTTTCTCAGCATCTTCTTCACAGAACTTTGTATGTTAAAATGTGTAATTAAATGAACGCTTACCCTCAAACTCAAAAGCCAACTCACTAAGTTTGTTTTCCTGACTATATTAACAGAGACGTTAAAATAACTTTTACCTGTCGAACTAACCTAGTACCTACCAACCTACCTATAACCTACCTACATTAAGGTACCAACAACTTAGCCTGGGTGCCATTCCGAACTTAGTCCCGCCCACAAAGTTTGAGGTCGGGAAGTTCGGTCTGGCTCTGCTCCATAGTAGCGCGAGTATTATCGCCCACTGTCAGGCGATCCAATCAAATTGTCAGGGCGGGCTTTATACGATGATGGACAGATGACCAACAGTAACGTAAT